CCCACTCCCTTCACTCCCACCCCCACCCTCACTGTCTCTCTCTGTGCCCCCGGGCAGGTACGTTCATCTGGTTTCCTGGCTCCGTCCCGAGACGCCTCCATAGATCCACGTTACTGTGGGTTTATTAAAACCTTCCCCCCACTGAGCTACTGTGTGTGAGTGCTTGTTTTTATTTGTACGACTCTGTGTGTGTGTGTGTGTGTGTGTGTATGTGCCAAAGGGTTCTTCTGTTGTTTTACAACAGAGTCAACATCACAAAATTAAGGAAATATTACTGGTGCACCATGCACTGCAGCATTTTTACTGCAGCATGTTGCTATATTCTTAGAAACTTACAAAAATTAATTTCATTGCATTGAGTTACATGTATTTATTCATTTTGATGTCTGTATTTTAGCTGTTGCACACTTATGCTCATCTGCATACTTAAACACAGCACATCTTTAAATTGCAGCTAAAACAAGGGTTTTCACTCGACGCAAGCCTGTGTAACTCCCCACATTGTGTCTTTCTAATTGTGTAACATGGTGGCTCACATGTCTTTATGGATGAAACAAGTCACCTGGGAAAGCAACAGCTGCCAGCAGTTTGTGGCGGCTTGGGAACAATTTAACTTACATTCATGTCCATGAATACTAATTGTGACAAGAATTTCCAAGGAAGCTTTTTCCAGTTTTTAACAGCAGTTTTTAATTTGGAAAAGATGTAAATCACCAGAGATGATCACAGGTCACTTTTGGGGTATTCATACCTACAAACTAAGCAAAATATATATTTTTTTGTCAAATGATTTGAACTTTCTTCTTCAGGTGACAAAAAATGCACAATATAAATTCATAGCATGTGGCCGCTGTAACAATTACTATCAAACTGATGTAAACTAAATGAGCACAGGGTCTTTAAAGGTGAGGAAGCATAGATTAATGCTTTTCTCTGAGCTGAGTAATTCATTTTAAATTGCACTTGTGTTCATTTGCCTCAGATGATCACTAGCTGGTTGTGCATTAGCATAGTTTGCTTATCTTTCTTTTTTGTCTGTTTTGATTTTTTGTTTTTTTTTTCCCTGTTAAATCACTGCCTGCTAGGCAAGTCATTTTCAGTTGTGATGCAGCTACAGCGTTGGGGATAGTTTGCACAGTAGCTGTGCAAACTATCAATTACTTCACAAAGCTACTCAAGAGAGAAATGTAGTTTGCTGAACTAAAGGTACTTAGAAAAAGTAGGTCAAACTACTTTATACAAAAAAGAATGAACTGACAATGAAAGTGATAAAAAAAAACTATAACAATTAATAGTCTTCTCCAGTTCTCAGTCAGTGTTCTCAAATATCCATGAAAAACATCTCAGATTGTTAACTGATTTCTGGAGTTGTTTTTTTTCTTTCAATGTTATCACTTTTTAATTTAAAATTCTCAATTTTTAGTCAGTAATACCATGTAATTTTTCTCTGAATTGCAACTTTGACAGTGTACTTTATTGTATTTTGAAGATTTGGGTTTTGCCGGACATAAACACGGAGTTTCTCGTCCATTACCTACCTGACAGTCAGCCGAGGCCAGGATGCAAGTCCTTGATGTGGCCTAAAAGCAGGCTGAAAAAAAGTTTCCCAAACATCAACAGTGCATAAAAAGAAACAGGCTATTACTCTAAAGTAGAAATGAGTTGTCTGTATTTGCAGGGGTGACTCTTTTGTAGTGTTAAACATCAAGAGGAGTTTGAGTGAAAGGGGGGAAATGAACAAGACAGAAGGAACCAAAGCTTCAAGGCATAATACTGTAATTGGAAAATTGTGCAAATGTGTTTTGGAGTCATGTTATATAAATGGCCAGTAGAGATAATGCCTGAGATTGAAGGCATGGCCTAATTGAGAGTAGGAGAAGGCGGAGGACAGGGTGCTGATGCTGAGGGGGAGAATGAAGTGTGGGTTTTAAATTGGGTGAAGGAAATGTAGATGGAAATGGGATGTTTTCAAAGATGTGGGAGGGAGGGAGGGAGGTGTAAAAGGGAGGAGGGAATAAAAGAAAGGGAATAATTCTCACTCTCTTCCTCGGTCTCCACACCTGTGACCCAGCAGCCAGCTGCCCCAGCTATTTCACCCC